CCTGTGGATGGGGTCGCGCATGCTCTCATGAGGTCCCCAAGAAGAGTTAAAGATGGAGAGGATTTTCCGTGTGCACGTGTGTGGATTTCGCTGTTGCGTGTGTTTGCTCTACATTGTGAACTGCAGCAGAGTTTTAAATCTAAGTATCGGTGTCTATCACTAGACAAAGACTTGAAGCCCAGGGGAGAAGCTGGATTGCTGCTGCGTCATAGAAAAGCCTGAACTCTTGCTTATCCTTCGGGTGGGGAGGCAAGCGTGTCACTCTGACTCAGTGACGCTGGCAGCAGAGTAAATAAGTGCATGCCCACCATCCGGTCCAGATACCAGAATTTCACACTGGAATCTCTCGAGTGTGCCATTCGTGTTCCCCACACCGTTTCCAAGTGTGATGCGGCCCTCTAAGTTCAGCTCAGAAAATTAAGCGTTGTCTGAAGCAGGCACTAAAACAGTTCCCCATCTGCTGCCAGGTGCCACCTGTGGTCACGTGTTTTCCCCACACCTTTTCCCGGCTTCCTCTGGTCCACGAGTCCATCCTCGAATCATTCAGGGCGGTGTGCAGCATAGCGGCAACATATGTTCAGGCAGTCCTAGGGGCTGCTTCCGCCGGTTTATTTTTAACTCTCAGTCCTTTCCTGACTTAAGTAATTGCTCTGGGAAGGAGCTATGATCTGTTTTTAAACTGTGTACGTTTAACCTCTCAGCCACCGTAACAAGTGTTTATTTAAAACAACCACAGTGGTGTAGCGTGGTATGATTTCCATGTGCAGCCACTGAATGTCTAGCTTTCCACGCTTGTCCGAGGTCTACTTTTCTGGCTTGCGGAGGCATACACGTTTCCCAGTTATGTTGTGTGGTCAATCTAATGAAGTATCTGAATTCCAGACTCCCCTGGGCGCGTCTTCTGTCTTTGGCAACTTGCCTGACCTGGTAGACCTCATTACTGTTTAGGAGTGCAGTATCTCAGACAGCTCTCAGAACAAGCCCTGTGTGGCTCTGCTGTGGCCCCCATAAGGATCTACCCTGTTTATTCCTGCCTCTCCAGGACCTAGAACAGGCGGCACCTGAGATCAGTCACCTAACCATGAGTGCAGTGCCGGGATTAGGGGAGTGGAGGAACCCACGGAGCTTCCTTCCATGGCGTCAAATGTGTTACTAAGTATGCTTCCTAGAGGACATATTTTCTAAACTTCTTTTGCAGAAGAAATACTGATCTGGCACTCAGATATCCCATGTTGACCTCCGATTATATTCATAATAATGAAATAAATTTGGTCTCTTTCCATTCAGTCTGCCGGCAGTGTTTCTGGCTGACTCATAAGTACAAAGGGGGAAAAAAGTGGAAATTAATGCTTCATCTGTTGGTTGTGTATTTGAACCAAGCTGTGGTTAAGTTAACTTGTGACTTTTTAATTTCCCCAGCAAGGACTGTGCAAAGAGGGATTTTTTTTTCTTGTTTTCTTTTTTCCTTTCCCTGCAGTTTGTCCTGATTCTGAGAAAGCATCAGCACTTCCAGCCTGAACTGGCTTATTATTTCTCTTTAAGCATTCTAATTTGACTGGCCTAAAGAACAGCTCTAAAAACAAAAGAGCATATTGTTTTATCTGCCATGTAAACTCCCAAGACTCTCATGGTGGAAGGAGAGAACCCACCCCTGCAAGTTGTCCCCTGACCTCCACACGTGCACACTTGCCCACACACTCACACACATACAATAAGTCAACAAAGAGGAAGGTGTGTAGTCCGAGGCAAAGGTCGGAACACATTTCCAACTTTTGGCCGGTTCTTTGTTACCTCCTTGAGTAAAAGCAAAGCAAAAAGACAGAATCCAACATCCAATCGTGTAACAAAAATTCTCTTCTTGTGCTAGTTTCTTTACCTAACTCTTTGCAGAGACTGAAGAGCTAAATTTTCCACTAGCCCCATTGAAAAATGTTCGGTGTGTAGCCGATTCAAATGAGAACGCATCCTGAGAGCTAGACTTTGTTGGCTTTCTTCAGCTTACGGTGGGACTTCTAAAAACCAGGCCCCCTTTACTCAGAAGAGATTTGAAGGGGTGTTTACTTCTCGTATTGCCAAGGCAGCTAATGTCTGGAAAGGTGCTTTACTTTTACAATTGAAACATTATCATAGTACAGTAGTAATATAAAGAAAGGTCAGATAACGTTTTCAGTTCTGGAGCCAGCTGCCTTTTTATTTTTTTTAAAAAAAAAAAAATGCCATTTCTTACCCATTGTGACTCATGTCAGGAGGTTAAAACGGTGTTAAGTATCTACTTTTGCAAAATGTATTCTCGTCTTACCCATAACCATAAATCCTTGAAAGATAAGTAGCGCTTTGCATCACGCTGCCTGAGCACTTCCATGTGTAACAATCTGCGCGATTGTTTTTAATATTTAGCCCTCCCACCTCACAATTCTCTTCCTTGTACAGCTGTTTAAAAAGAAGTCACAGCTGTTTAAAAAGTCACAGCATTCTTCAGGCAGCAGTCATCATAAAAACAGCTGCCACGGAGTGTAAGGGAAAGAAAGGGTTTAGGAAATAATTATGTCTTCATCCAGTTGTAAACGCTGGAAACGTAACTGCACTGCAGATTTTCCCGAACACTTGAAACTGTAGGGTCTCTCTCTCTTCCAAAGAGAAGAGAAAGGATGGACCAGTCTGCGATGGCATTGAGCCGAAGAACACCTTCGCTCCCGTCTGCTCGGCAGAAGACAGGGTGTCCAGAGCAGAGGGGCACGCTAGGGAGCTTAGCTTGCCAGAGGGAGGTTGTATGAGTGCCCTTTCAGGCCTCTCTGGTCAACAGTGATTATGAATTTGCCCATTTGGGAGTAGTGCAGACAGCTAACCTGCCTATCCTCTCTGAGTACTGGAAACGTGGGTGGTGAGCTTGTTTTTGTGTTGTAATGTGTTCTCGGGATGCCTTTGAGATCAAATAGTGTGTGGGATGCTCATTGTTTAGATGGCGGAGAAGCAGTGTTGTTTAAAACCACAGCGCCCAGCAACAGTGCAGAGGACTGTTGCCATCTGAAAGGCGCTTTGGAAGTTCTCCAGTCCTATGTTTTCTCTGCTCCCTGTCTGTGAGCTGGGGGTGAGGAGGGGGGTGTTTCCCTTAAGGTGTGCTGCTGGGCTGAGGCTAATCTCTGTAAAGTGTTGGTATTTGTTCCTCCTTTTCCCTGTAATCAATCTTTCACACTCATCTCAAACCCCTAATGCAGCAGCAGGCTTCCCAGAGCTCCTGGTTAAAATTACCTTTGCTTTTGGTAAACTCTGAACCTTCAAGCTTGGGGTTTTCAGCCGCCCCCCTGTGGATTCCGGGAAGCCTCCCTCTGCCTCCCCACCCTGCAGTCCTCCTCACTTTAAGTCCTGTAACCAGAAGCCTGTGAGAGGGGCTTGCTCATTATATCCCAACTGTGCCCACCATCCTTCTTCCCTCAGCAGAGGAAGCCTGTGCATCTGGCCAGTAATTGGGAGTTGCTTATGCTAACTCTGGGAAAGGGGTTCCAACTCCAGAAGTTGCAGGCTTGTGCTGATTTTCCCACAATAATGACACTTTGAAGCTAGTGTTGTTATTTCTGAACAACTCCTTCCTCTTCTGACACTACTGAAATATGCAAACTTATTTCTTAGAAGTTTTTTCTCCTGTATTTTCAGGTCAGAGTAGCTCAGATTGCCTTTGAAGTTTTGATTGTCTTGCATGATCATACTTCACTCCTGTTCACTTCCTTAGATCCCTTGTGGTAAGGATCGCCATTTGTGCTGAAAATGGGTTCCGTCCTAGGTAAACCTGTGACCCTTCCATGCTCACAGCACCCAACGTTGAGTGGCCACACAAGGATGGGAGTCTGGAACTTGATTCTGTTTGAAAACAGACTTTCCCTTCCAAGGTTGACGCTTTGTTGAGTATAGTGTTCCTGTGACTCTTAATAGTGTTTCTGACTGAAGTCCCCTCTACCATGCTGTGAGTTATCTCATTTAAGAGTGATAGCAATACCTAGGGGGATTTTTGTTTTGTTTTGTTTTTTAAAAGTAATGAGAAAATGTCCTATTTTCCGCCAGCAGTGGTATATGTCATCAGTACAGTTGAGATACTTGAAATTAAAGATACTCGCTTTGAAAGTCATTTCAATGCTTTTACTCTTCAAAGCATAATGGACATGCTTGCATTCTCTTAAAAAATAATGTTAGCACTTTTGGGGGGAAAAATAGCCACAAAAGAAAAAAAAAAGCAATTTATAGGTTAAAACACAACCAACAAAATGGAAAAAAATACCCACATGATCCTGCATCTTGCAGTCTCTGTGGTAAAGGACTTGGCTCATTTTGCATAGGTGCTAGAGCCCTGCACTTAGGTCACCGCAGCATGGGACCTATGACTGTCCCTGTATTCCCTCTACACACGCAGTAACTGAGCACAGCGTCAGCGGTTACATCTTAGATTAGGAGCCAGGACAATGTTCTCAGGGATGCTTTTGTGAAAGTAGTTAAGCATGCTGTGTTTATATGTATGCTTCATATTTTTTTTATTTTATTTAATTAAACATATTACCACTGTCAATTATTTGAAATAAAGAAGTCATGTAAAAAACAGGAAAAATCCCATGCAAACATCATTTGTATAACTTTTTTTTGCCTTAGTTGTCCTCCTTAAAATTCTCCTCGGATTGGATTGGTCAGAGAGAAGTACGAGTTAAAACCACCATACTCGGTTTGTGTTATAGTATAGATAACGTACTTCTTTGCATAGTAAAGAAGAAGTGAACTTTGAGTATTCTCAAGAAGAACTTTGTGATTTTAACAGATGCTTTTTTCAATTAAAAATTTTGTGTTTAACTTTTCATTATTTTCTTTTATTGGAATTAAAATGCAATTACCAATTATATCATCTTCCCCTACAGCCCTTCCCATGTGCTTTCTCCCCTCTCTAAACCAGTGTTTAATTTCTTATGGTCCCTATATCTTTATTTTTACAGTACTAGTTTTATTTGGTTTTGTCTTTTCAGTGGGTACACCTTACTACATGTCTCCAGAGCGAATACATGAAAATGGATACAACTTCAAATCTGACATCTGGTCTCTTGGCTGTCTGCTATATGAGGTAGGAACTGTTGATAAATTCTGTACATTGATACAGTCTCACTTATGGTAAATTCTGTACATTGATACAGTTTCACTTCTGTTATGTATCCAGTACTATCCAGTTTTTGTTGAGATGAATTGATTCATTAGGCAATTACTAATTGTAAGTTCCTACATATTTATTTTGTCTAATATATAATACTTATTTTATTATAATGCTATTCTGCTTATCATGTGTATATATACATAGAGGTACATGTGTGAAAACTTTAGTGTATTGCAGGAAAAGAATGCCGTGAATTTAAGACATGAAAATATTTATCCTTATCGGCATTTTGTTTCCCATTTACACAGGTAAAATCCAGCTTTGAGGCTGGCTTGCAGGTTGTCACTTAAGCAGAGTCCCATAGTTTATATTGTGATATATAGTCCTGTAGCCCTGTAGCTGTAGAAAGGGCCCCTAAGCAACGCTGTTTCCACCATCCTCCAGGGCAGCAGCATTGACAGCATCCCAACTTGGTGACTCCTAAGATAGAATTTTAATTGTATGTCAGGAAAATACAGAGTCAAAGATGCTAATTAAAACTCAGTCGGCATCCGAGTAGTAAGCCTTATTGAATTGAAGGAACATAGTGCGAGGGGTTATTCTTGTGTTTCGAGAAGGAAGTCTGAAGTTTGTGTCTGTCTGTTTTGCTCTCCTGACTGCGGATTTATCTGTTGTGATTACGCCACTGTCCCTTGGAGGTGACCCATTGAGGTGCTTTGTGAAATGTGTGTTGACCACTTGTGGTTCTGCTGAGTACAGATAAATGCCTTAATTTAGGGAAAGGGTTCAAGCTTTCTCTGATGCCTGAGGACTGCTTGAAGGATTTTAACATGCTCTTGTGTGAAATACTGTGTTAGTGATGTTGCATGACACATGCTGCTGTGTATATATCCATGTGATGATAAGGGTTGGCTCACTGGATTCTGATGATGATTTGGGGGGGGCAGTGTTGATAAGACTTGGCTTGATAGTATCGCTGCTGTAACATTTAAAAGTAAGTCACTTCATGTGTTTAAAAATGTACATAATTTTTAACCATAGTAGGTAATATTAGAGTTGTCCAGGTCATAATCTAATATCAAAATAATATTTTCCCTTTAAACAACCTAAAAGTTAGATAGGAAATGATTTTCTAATCATGAGATTAAAGTTAGTTAGCAATTGCACTGGTAGAGAAAGGGGGTTATGTAATTCTTGCAATATTGTATTAAAACTGAAACAATTATCTATATCTTACAATTGCATTTGAGAGGTAGGATCTGTTTAATGCATGCTTATCATGGTCATCAAAGTAAGAGTTCTCTCTCTGAACATTTCCATGTCCTCAAGGTGCATGTGCTAATTTCAAGCTCAAATGTTTGCCATGTTCATGTTAGGAGCCATTTCAATGCATTTTCTCAAATCTTCCATACAAGAGTTGAGAACTTTTAAAAAGATATATAATCCACCTTAATCCATCTTTATTCTTGGTGGATTATGATAGAAGCAAAAAAAAAAACTATTGGGTGCTACAGACAATTTTGAAAACCTAATAACTTACACTAAAAAGGTAACAGAGAAAACATTGAATGTAAACATAAATTTAGTGCAGCTTAGGTTTTCACAATTGTCTGTGGCACCCAGTAGAGTTGGTCTCCACCCCCCATAATAATCCAGGAAGAAATTACTGTTAACAATGAAGGAGTAGGAAGCCCCTTTTTTTAGAACATATTTTAAACTCAGGAAATTAGACTTTCAAATATTCCTGAAACCCTTGAAAACACTAGGAGTACAGTTTTAATTGATATGCAACAAAGTAGACTTTACTAATTAAAACCAAGATGCTGAGGTTTGTTACATGGACCTTTACATGGGAAAGTGGGTTTTACACATTTCCTTTATTGTTCAGTGTGGCAATTGCATCCTTACAGGGTTGTAGGTTGGTGGCTTACAGTTCAAAAAAAAAAAGAGAGCTGCCACCAGCCCCGAAGACAGACAGTGGGCTTTCGCCCCTCCAACACCCCCAGAATACTAATGAGGAAAGTCAGACCCTGGAGGTCAGGGAGCGAGTCAATCATTCTAGCGATCGTCTCAGTGTGTAGGATCAAATTAGCCTGAAAAATTCAGCTGCTGGGAGGAGAGGGCGAGCAGCTGTCAGGGGCAGCGCCGAGATGCACTAATGAACCAGATGAATAGTGCAAAAGCTTGAAAATAAAAACAGGACAGTTGACATTTTTCATCTGTCAAAGCAGGAGATGCATGAAAATATACTATTCCTGTTTAACTCCTTAGGGGACGTTCAGACTCTCTCTCTCTCTCTCTTTTTTAACACTATGGAATTGAGACAAAAGTAATATAATGAACTCCTAGCATGTGATAGAGAATGAATGTACATTTACGTAAGGGCTTACGAAGGTGGGGAGATGGTAGTTTTAACATTTGATTTTTTTTTTTTTTTTAAATCATACAGTGCCCTTGCATTTTGAACGTAAATGTTGTTTATGACGGTGGGTCCTACACTGGAAATCCCCCGCCCCCCAGTGCTGTGTGTTTAGGGCGCCTCAATCATTATTTACTTTATGTCGTCGTTGTCGTGTGTGGAACTGTCCCCAAGGTTGTTCTGGGTGGGTGGGTATAGGTTTTATATAAGATGTGGGCTAGGTAAACCTGCATGTAAAACTGCCTTCTAGGTGGGATTTCCAATGCCATTCCCTGCTGGCTGAGGCTTTGAAGGAGTTAATAAATACCCTGCCTGGAGTACAGGAGACAGATGAGAGCCATTTTCAGCTTGCTCTGTCCCCGCTGACGCTCACTGAGTAGCACAGCATGGACCAGCGTGTTCCACACACACTCTGCCTGTCTGGGAAATGTACACATTGTCCTTCCAAAATCAAACTTATTAGCACGCGTAGAAAAGGGTGACTTGACTTTCGGGCAGCCTGGCACTCCGTGTTGTGTTCTCTTCGGCTGCGGCTCAGAGATTTAGAAGGTTTTGAACAGGATGCAAACATTTTAAATTGAATCTTTTAGTTTGTAGCCTTGCTTACCAAGTAGTTGCTTGCGCTTTTTAAATGTCAAGTTAGAACCTTGTCTTAAAATACATTTAAATTCAGTAATGTCTCTTTTAAAGTGGTTTATCCTCTAAGTCACGTTTTTCTGCATTAAAAACAAATCCTCTTTGGATGGCTTGAATTGCATCTTAGCGTCATGGATATTCTTTTAAATATATTTAATGTGTAGCCTGAATTGCATCTTAGAGTCATGGATATTCTTTTAAACATATTGAATGTTTTATCAAAACAAAGTTATTATTTAAACTATTTAAGGTTCAGTTACAATATTAAAAAACAGTATGTTCTCTCTTAACAAGACTTCTTTTTTTCTAAAAAAATATACTGTTCATGAAAAAATGGTGTGCATTCTAAGCCCTTGCTAAGTGTAATTCACTTTTAATGTTTTTTTGTTATTGTAGTGGTGGTGGTTGTTACGTTGAACCATTAATTACATTGTTGAGCCATACCATATGATATGCTTTGTCAAGAAATAGGCTAGTTGTTTATGGTTGTATACAAATACACAAATATCTTCCACTTCCTAATATTATTTTACATTCTATGAGATAGTAAGCCATTTCTCTTTAGGAATTTTAAATGTTTCAAAAATAAAGTTGTTGTGATTTTTAATACTCAGAAAATGATAATCATAAAAACAAAATGGTTGCACACAATTTTCTCCAAAGTATGCATAACTACGTTCAACCCTGGTGTCCTGTACCTGATGAAGTCCTGACTCTTTTGCAGATGGCCGCCTTGCAGAGCCCTTTCTACGGTGACAAAATGAACTTATACTCTCTGTGTAAGAAGATAGAGCAGTGTGACTACCCACCTCTCCCCTCAGATCATTACTCAGAGGAGGTAAGTGGCCCTCAGCCCCTGCCTTTGCTCAGAATGTTACTGTATTCAGAATACAGATGGCGCGGAGAGAGCACTCTCCATTGTTTCCATTCAGAGACTTGCTGTTTAATTGATACAACAGCTCTGTGAGTCACAGTAAGGAGCGGAACACTGCCTGGGCTAGAACCATAGATGGTTGGCATTACTCCCGTGGGGTGAACCCACCGAGGAGGAAACGGAGTATTCTGACTCAGCGTCTTGTGGCAGGTGCAGCCCTGACCCCTCAGATAACAATGAAAACTTACTTAGGTAGAACTTCCCTCCTCGGTGTTTTTCCAAATCCAAACTATGTACCTCTCAGCCACCTGTCCGTGAACTTTTTTCTCCTTGGGCGTCACTGCTTCAGCCACATTCCTCTGGGTTAGGGTTTTAAGGTTGCCACTGTACACGCGTTTATAAAAAGACACTGGGTAAGAATGACAATTTTTCAAAGACCTTGAGATCTGAATTCTTGCTTTGCACTGGAATGAGTTGTCTTTGGCACTTACCCAACATCCAGGTTTTCATTAAACAGTATCTTCCATTTTTATCCTAATACATTATGATTATTTGAGGGGGGTATACAATAGCAGTGTCTCAGGTCAACTAAGATGAGCTCACAAAGACTCTTTGGGGACTTCTCATCTGGGACCTGCCCAAGGAAGCAGTAGTTTCTTTCCATTTTGCCCCAGGAAAATGGAAAGGAACAAAAGAAAAATATAGAATAATTACAGTGATCACATATTAAGTAATCTTGTCATAGAAATGAATCATCTAAAGATTTTTTTAAAGCTATATTTAGATCATGTGTGTTCCTAGAATATAATCAGCACACATTTGTCTGATAGTTTTGATACTGATGATGAATGATGCCTACAATTTTTTTTTTTTTTTTTTTTTTTGCTTTGTGGCAAAATAATTAGAATATACTCTTAGGAAGCAATGATGATAATGTTCTTATGTTCGCCATTTTTAATTACTATTTTGGGTACGGAATATAAATACGGCATTTCACAAAACCAACTTCAGGACTATAGGCCCAGAAATACAGTAGAGTGTGAACAATAATGGAAGTCAGGGGCATGCCTTTGTTATGTCACTCATGCTGGGTTCTTTTTCCCCGTGAAGCACATGAATATTTCACATATCTGCATCCTCATCCCCTATTCTTCTTGACTAATTTTCAGACTGTCTGAATTTGCATTTCACATGGTAGCTGATTAGGAGATGCCGGAGTGCAGCAGCTAAAGCCTCAGCAGGCGGTTGCCATGGTGACCTTCAGCAGGATTTTAATGATGATACCACTAGTGGTTCGTTGAAGTCGGCCTGCCTGCAGGGCTACTTCACGGCGGCTAAGTGTGAAGTTGGATACGCGGCTTCTCAGCCAAGGGGCAGATATCAAAGTCTGGCCCAGATAGAAGGTCTTCAAGTTGGGAAAGGAAAATAGATTCCACTATTTTACTTCACTCTGTGTAGTTAGCAGTTCCAAAAAGAGCTATAAAGCAAAAAAACACGTTATTTGGTGCATCTTCCAAAATGAGACAGTGCTGTTTCTGGTATTTGGTAAAGTCTCTTTGCCGTGCCCTGACGAAACAGGAGGCTGTAATGCCTTGGTTTAAACGTGGGCAATAATTCTTAGGAAACAAATTTGAAAAGCATGCGGTCTATATAACAAATGTTGCTTTATTCCGATTAAAATATTTTCCCTGCTTAATTAGGAACTCAATTTGTTTATAAACAAATTATTCCAAATTAGTGGTAGCCGCAATAGAATTTCAAAGAGATTTAGTGCCACCATAATGATGTTGGCAATATCCCCATAGAGAATGAGACCAGTGAGAGAGAAGGTAAGTGCCAACTTTAGCACCGCATTTGTACAAAAAGACTCCATCAGTGTGTCTTTTAACAGTGTGTGAAAAATAAAAAAAATAACAGGAGTTGAGAGATTTCTAAATTTACTTAGGCACTGATATTACTTTTCATTTTTTACATTCTTTAAAAAGGGACACTTCCATAGTATGTTACTTGCCAGCCTGCCTCAGCAATAGGAGCTGTAAGGACAATAAGACTTCCAAATGCAGTCATTCCATTTAAAAGAACTCAGGAGCTTAAAGAATGAATTTTCCCCATGCTAATATCCTACAAGGAAAATACAGTTTAACATTAAAAACCAAAGCGGTATGCTTGGGAAACCTAAGTATGTACATCAAAGCTTTTCTTTTGAAGTATGGTGTTTGTCGACAGACACATACATAATGTAGGTTCTAGAATGAAATATCCCAGCTTTAGACGGAGACTTAGGACATGTGTATCATAGCCTTCGTTGATGATGACTTTGTTTGGTCTATGGTTGATATTCCTTAATCTCCCCCCCACCATCACCACCACCACAACAACCTCATCACCACAACAACCTCATCTATGTGTGAATAGAGAATTACCATACTTAAAAAATTGGCATTGAAGACAGCTGCCTTCCCTTAGATAGCTCTGTTTAAATTGTCTAGCACTTACTGGGGATTTGCTATTTGTTAGGACTCATAAGCCAAGTGCCTGTTCAGTCTACCTGTACTTAAAACCTCATGGCCATGGCCACATCTTCTTTCCCGTCACCGCCAGTGTGAGTTCCTCTAGAAGACCCGTGAATTGTCATGCTTTTAAGGATGCTGTGTCCCTCTTTTCCAGCAGGCCCTCCCTCTGTATCCTTTTTCCTGCCTCTTCTCCCCCTGAACCTTCCCTTGGCAGCCGTATCCCATGATCGCTGCACCTTGGTGTGTGTGTGTGTGTGTGTGTGTGTGTGTATGTATATATATATATTCACCTTCCCCTTTCCAGTGTCAAGCATCTGTAGCAACTCAAGGGCCTCGTGGATTTAAAAACTTGGGTGACGGACTGATTGAGGAGGTAAAGGAGTTGATGTGAAAAAGAAGAAATTTACAAAACAAAATGAATGGCCTAGTCTCAAAAGCATTGTGTGACGAGGCACAAGCTCACCCAAAGGCATACCGGGAGAGGCTACAGCGCTCTGTCGCTGAAACCCTTCCCTGGGTGGGTTTTTCTTCTCATTCTTTTGCACAAGCATCATCAACTATCAAACATCCGAGGCATTTACTAGGAAATGACACGCACTTGGTCCTGGCACTTAATTTCTCAAAGAGACACTGGAATGGTCACCAGAATTAGACATCTGCTCTGTCATCTCTTTAGAATCAACAGAAGAAAAAAAAGGGGGGGCTTGAATATTCCTATAGGAAAGAGAATTCTGAAAAGTCGAATTAAAAAGAAGGGGGGCTTACGTATGAAACGAGTCTTCATTCCAGAAAATAGCAAAGCAATCGTAGATTGAAGACTTGACAGCAAGGCTTTAGGTTGGAAAAAGATTAAGCTCCTATAAAATCTTGGAAAGATGGTTAATTTTTTTTTTAATAAAATGGCCTGAGTTATTAGAACAATAGATCCTAGGTGATTGCTATGGCAGATGTTGTTTAGTCATTTTGTTTGGGGTTAACACTAGGCATTGAACTCAGGTTCCTGTGCCTGCGGGACAGGCACTCTATTGAGAGAAAGAATCTCACTGAGTCGTGTAGGCTGAATTTAAAGTCACACTGCAGCCCTGGCTGCCTTTGACCTAACTTGAACCCTCAAGTCGCTGAGACCATAGGCCTATGCTACCAGGCCCCAAGTCGGTAACTTTAAATTCATCATATACAAGTAAGATAATGTCTTTTCTAGTTACATTTTAGCTTCTTAAGTCGTGCTATTGCATTTTATAACTGAAGAAACCAAATTATATTATCTCTTGTTTTAAAAGCAATTAATTGGACCCATGTGTCATAAGACCATCCTTTGAGGTGTGGCCCTGAGAACTGTGTCCACTTGGCGCTGGTGGGAAGAGAGCTAGAAGCTTTTAGATGCTGCCTGCTTTGCGTTTGCCATCTTAGGAGAGTGCGCCCTCCTTTCCATGGCGGGAGAGCCATTACAGGTTGTATTTGCTGGTGGTCTCTTGCCTTTCTGGGTTAGTGCGACCTGGCGCATCACTCACAAGTTAAGAAGTGACAGTAAACACTATTCCTTTTGGAACACACACACACACACACACACACACACACACACGAACTGGCAAACAAAAAGCTGTCATTCTTGGGACACGTTGTGTGTGCATGCATAAACACACACGTAATAATAAATCATTTTTCAGAGTATTTAGAATAGATACAAGGATTATAAAGAGTCCTTATTTTTCCCATGATGCATAATCAACAAATATTTTTTTAAAGTTAATAAAACTGACCTCATGGAAAGTAGCAATTATTCAAGTATGTAAATATGCGCACACCCCAGTGGTCAGATGTGCTGGTTTCCAAATGTTCACAAAGGGAAAGCAGATAAATTCAAATCTTGGAGATAAGAAATTTTTAGATGATCATCTGGAAAGAATTGTTAGCCTTGCTTTTTATGTAAATAAGGGAGGAAATTCGAAGCTAATGGAAGTTTATAGATAACATAAAACATTTTAATAAGTCAAACATTTTGTCTTTAGTTTCCAGTTCTCAAATTCTAATTGAATTTTATTTAGGAATTCCTTTGGGTCGTTACTGAAAATTGGCCGGAGTTATTTAAACTGGCGCTGGGAAGTTTTTCCTAACACTTCTTTACAATGATGCCGAAATATAATAGGTGGTGTGCGCACTGGATTAAGGAGCATTGCTCAAGGGTATGCACCATCTTGAGAATTACCCAGTCATATTCCAAGTTAGATAGTAATAATAAAAAAAAAATATTTACCGTAAATTGTCGCCCAATGTTATCTCAGATTGGGAGCATTTAATTTTCCTTCTTGAAAACTGTTTTAATAAGTTTCATATTGTCATGCCTGTACTACCTATAACCACTTCACTAAAGGTAGTTATGTAAGATCTTTAAGTGTTGATTATTACTCCATTTTTGCTTAAATGTATGGGTATATTTAAGCAGGCCCTTTGGTCACTATGCTACAGAAGTGACACGGGAGAATTGTTCCTTGTAGACACAGATCCAAAACAGTGCCCTATATTTCACTCTCCTACGGGATCCTATAAAAACCATGCGACATTCCGTAAGATGGTTTTTAAAGGAGCCGAATGATCTCCGAGTGTGAAAATAACAGACGTTGCATCTGTGAAAGATGAATTTCCTTTTTCTCTACTCCTAAGTCGATCATTAGCGTGACACTTTGGTGTTCGTGTTGGATATGCCTAATCATTTTGTGTAAGTAGCTGAAGCTCCAAATATAGTGGCTTTAACGTATTAGGACCAACATTGGGGTGCTAAAATGTGTCCTTGGATAGATGGAAATTGGGCATATCTGGGAGGCTGATATAGCATAATTGGTCTCAGAGGGATTAAGATGGGGCTGATAAAGAAACAGTACCAATAGAATTAGTCTTTATTATCCTATTGAGAATGGTGGTGGTGACCTAAAGCTATAATACACAAAGAGCCTGGCTGTTATTACCACTGCGTGACTCAACTTGAACTGTAATTGGGTTAGCACCCTGAGAACAATGACTCTTGACACTCACTGTCTTTAATATTTCTGGTTTTAGGCTACATACTTTGGTATTTCTTTGGAAATACGTAAATCAAAATATTAGTGGTTTATCTACTGAATTTGAAAACTAAATTTATTTTAAAACTCTATTATATCTAATCACCTTATTAGCTTTTAGTCATTTAGATGTTTCTGGCTTGCCTTAAATACGGTGGAAGCACATGAATTTGGCGGTTTTTCTCTAACTTATAGAGGCTCTCAAGTGGACACACGTTTTTGGCATATTAAAAGCAGTAACACAGATCTTTTTTTAAAAAGCTAGAAAGCATACAAGGTAAACTTTCTGTGATAGAGTATTTTCTGGCTCACATCAGCTGTCCTTGCTGTTGCCAGTGTTACAATTCCGAAGCTGGTAAGTGATAACTGGATAGCTGTCCACTCAACAAACACATTACTAAGCAAACAAATCCCTACTGGTCTTAGACTAGAGAAGGCAATATTGACTTATGTAATAGTTAACTGTCATTACAAAGAGTTTCAGAATAACTTGCTTTCTTCCAGAGGGCTAGAGAAAATTTTAAAAAGATACTATTGAGGGGAGCATGCCTTAAAACCCCCCACCACCGCCATACACACACTCAGATGGCAGAGAAAGGAAAATTGCCGTAAGCTAGTGGACAGCCAAAACTATGTAGGAAAATCTTATTCTTTAAAACCATACACACATACTTAAAACTAACGTTGAGTGAGGTCTTGAATGCAACCATCTTATATATGTCTGACTTGACTCAGTCATGAGGGTATTATTATATAAGGACTTCCACTGGAGACTTTTGTTTTTTAAATGAGCCCCTTATATGAGGGCTTCAACCCAGTCTCCCCAAGACTGAGAACCAAAGGTCTTATGCCTCTTAGGCAAGTGCTCTCCCTAGCCCACTGCGTTTAAACTTACAGTCTAATTATGAGATTGGTCCAAGTTAAAAATCCAAGTACTTTCTGTTTGGAGGGAGTTACTGCCAGTTTCATGGACGGGTTGTTTATAAAATAATAGTAAAATTGCAATTAAAACTGTCATGCTGGGTCATAATATTCATCTGAACCTGTGTCAACACTTAAGAGTTATTTTTTTTTCTCATGCCTTCTATAAAATCCTAGACAAAAAGGATTGGTTTGTGTTTTGATCCGAATTGTCCTATGGGCTGTGAATGCAGAGCCATTAATGTTAGAGGCTCATTATGCTGCCTAGTTTTGTATCAACTTGATTCCAGCTCGAGTCATCAGAAAGGAGGGAACCTCAATTGAGAAAATGCCTCCCTAAGACCTGGCTGTAGGGCATTTTCTTAATGAGTGATTGATGGGGGAGGGCCCAGTCTATTGTGGTGGGGAACCATCCCTGAGGATGTGGCCCTGGGCTCTATAAGGAAGGTTTAAGAGCAAACCAGTAATCAGGACCCTTCCATGGACTGTGCCCTTTCTCCAGGTCCCTGCCCTGTGTAAGTTCCTGTCCTGGCTTCCTTTAGTGATGAACTGCAATGTGGAGTGTGAGCCACATTAAACCCTTTCCTCCCCTGACTTGCTTTTGGTCATGGAGTTCCTATGGCTGTGACGAAACACCACCTTGTAATTGTTATTCTTGCTAATTGCCGACAAGTCTGCCCCTTGACTGTATGAGAAGTCCCCACCCTTGCTCAGAGGTGGTGGTCATAGAGAAACGTGTAGAGCAGGTCAGAATTTCCCTACGATAGCAACCTGGTTCTGAAAAGCCTGTGCCGGAAATGAGAGCATTTCAGTTCTTACCTCCATCCCGCCTCCTGACACCTTTATGATCTCAGGTGGCTGCTGCTTTTTATAAAATGACACCACATTGGTAGTATAGACCTATAGCATTGTTATTAGGAAGACTGAATATGTTAAATCATACAAAAATGCATAGCAGAACGTTTTAATAACATTCATGAATGTATGTTGAGGCCTGAGTACTATTCCATGTTTTATATATCTGACAGTGATGATTCTCACAACAATTCCACTGGCTAAGAAAAAAAACTTTGACAGTTTTCTTAATTGGTAGAGATTGAACATAAAGGGGGGGGGGATGGAAAAAGCAAGCATTGCTTATTCTGCATTGTCTTTACATCTACGGTGGCCTCCCTGGTGCTGCCTAGGCTGTCCCTGTGTGGCTGGCATCTGGGCAATGTGTAGCTCAGCTGTCCCTACCTCTGTTTCTAGTCCTCCCTCCTTTGGAAGCTCTATCTTCTTCAGCTTGTGTCCTAGCCCTCCTCTAATTTTTGGTTGATTTTTCAGCCCTTTGTTGTTAACTGGCTACAGGGTGCATCCCGTCCTGAAGGTCTCTGCGACACAGGGGGTGGTTTCTGAGCTAGCTTGTTCAGTGTGGGCAGTGCTAAAAATTAAATTGTTATTATTCTACCCACCGATATTTTAGCTGAATGTGTTGAGTTTTTGTAACCTAGTTACCATTTCCTGTCCCCTTTTCTGTTTCCTCTCTCATTCTTGTTTCTTGACAGCTTGGTGACCTTGTGGGACACAGCTGTCTTTTTTAACATAAGAAATCATCATCTAAGGGCTTCTCGCAAGCTTTCTGCATTGTGCAGAACTGGGTGCATTTGTCTTTAACTGGTTAGATGCTAGGCTTCACTTTAGTCAACATAATAAAATGTCTTGTATTTTGCCAGACTCTCTAATACCTTCAATACCATTCTGTGTTCTTCTGAAGGGAATATAAGTTGATATTGTCACACCTTCTCAGTGGCTACAACAAATTCCACATCCATCACTGTGATTTCCAAATACGGCTGACGCGAAATCATTATGTTATATCTAATGAAGGAATTAGAAATGGGCCAGCGTTTCTGACGATCAGCTCTAGTCTCGCTATTTAACAGGTAGAGAAGGGTTGCAAGGGCCCCTGCAAGGCTACTTGTCAGCTCCTCCCTTTTGCCCCTTCACCATACCCGATCCCACGCCGGCTAGTTCTTGCCCAGCCAGCCTCCTCACATAACTTTTCCCCAGCTTGAGCCTTCTCCTTCCAGCACCAGCAAGACAGAGCATCTTTTCAATGAATGGCATGAAGGATTTAATACCTCACTAAGTGCTGTGCTAATTAATGCACATGCCAGAAAGTTTCAAAACGTCTAAATTACTCCTAACAACAACAAAAAGATCCGAGTATGAAGATGGTATACACTGTTACTAAGTATGAAGATGTTACATATGCTGTTAAAGGTAGACACATAATTTGCCAAAGGTCATCGGAATTGAACAAAACCCAATATTCTAACTAATGAATCTAGAAGGGAAGGTATCTTAACCCATGGGATTTTTTTCCTCTGGTAATCTTCTCAACTCTTCTTTATAAAGTGGGAACATGTAAATACTATATTTCACACAGTTAAGGATTGGAGTAATGTTTACGCTTTATCTTGCTGACAGTTTATATAAAAGGAAATTAAACTAAGACTGCTAAGGTATATATTTGTTTATACAAAATAATTCATGATAAATATGTATCTGACAGACATGTACTCTGATCCCATTTCTGAAAACGTAAGCTTGCCCAAAACTATAATACACTAAATTCTAGATCAGGTACATGTGTGCATATTCTTCAGTTAACTAGAAGCCTTGTAGCTAAAAGGCTTGTAGTTAACAAAAATTGCTTTGTTCAAAATTAAGAAGGCTGATTTTAAGTCTTGCTTTGTCTCTTCAGCTACGACAGTTAGTTAATATATGCATCAACCCAGACCCGGAGAAGCGGCCAGACATCGCCTATGTTTATGACGTAGCAAAGAGGATGCATGCATGTACGGCGAGCAGCTAGACTGCAAAGTCATGAAGAAGGCAACCAAAATAACTTAAAAGTGTTTGCAAATCATACCTCCCTGGTTTTTTTTTTTGTTTTTTTTTTTTGGTCTGGGCGTTAAGATCAATACGTCAGAGTTAATGTGCTTTGAATCCTTAACCAGTTTCATTTTCTGCCAGGCTCAATCTCCTTGAAAATCCACAACGACTTTGGCTAAACCACATTTAAGAGTGCACACGTGTAGCTAGAGTTTAAGGTGTGAGCATCATCGTCATTGGGAGTTTTCTGCTGATGTGTTCATAGATTGTCGGTGCCAAATGGTGAAGAAACGTGTTGGCACACACCAGGAGAGACACAGAACCTGAGGAGAGACCTAAGCTAAGCATTTGACTTGATTGCCTTTCAGTCACATATGGACATTGCAGTGGACACAATTGTGAACTTACGCATTTTTTTTTTAAGGTTTGAAGTATGTGCTTTATTTAGCTCTTAGTTTCCAAATACAACTCTTATGATGAATGCAAACTATTTTAAAATTCTTAGTTTATACTCAGAACGCAACTATTAAATGTGAACAGGTAGGGGATGAAGTGAGTCAGACACTGAACGTTTTGTGTTTTCACACCTTAGGGAGACTCTTTTGCATTTAAATGGTATAAATGAGTCCATTTTAAAAGTGGTTAAGGATTTGTGTGGCTGGTGTGATAGTCATTTTTAAAGTTGCACATTGCCCGAGGCTCTGTGTGTTTTTATTGTACATTTGGACAATATTCTTGGAATAATCATGCAGTAACTATAATTCAATTTCTTTATGAATCTAAGTACATTTAACTCATGACTGTACACTGTAATGTAAGCATATGTTGTTGTTATTCATAGATTCTTTTGATCAATCCCCTTCAGACTTTTTTTTTTAATTCTTCAAGTTATTTATATTGTGTGTACATTTTATCCACTAATGTTTCAGGTTTTCTGAGAACATAATTAATTCCCTTTTTAAAAGAAGACATTTGGTATGCCAACACTTTTTTTTTTTTTTTTTTTTAACTTTTGGGTCACTCTGTGTGCATGTGTTCTTGTTAGGAAGAGAGATGTGTGTTACAATGTGCCTATGAATGTCGACAGTTCTGAGTCATTCGACAAAGATAAGATTTTAGAATATGTATGATTTTAGAATATGTTTAAGGACATGAAGACGCGCCCTTGATGCAGACAGTTATGAGAGTAACATTTCCGTGTGGATGCTCTTGGAGCAAACTACTGACTGCATAAACGTGACAGACACGGCAAAGCTCCTTTCAGTTAAGAAAATAGGGAGTCGTTTAGGAAACCCTGCCGCCGTGGAGGCGTGTGCTATGCCAGAACCTCGGGGAAGGTTAACCCGCCAGTATGGCAGCCTGTGTTCAGGGAGCACATGCTCTTAGGCAGAGCCCTCCTAGTCTTGTTAGTCTTGTTTTCTCACATAGCATTGTTCCTATAGTTACTTTCAAATGAACAATGTCTATCCTCTCATTTTAATTGGCTACGGATGCTATCTTAAGGGTAATGGTCTTTGCCATGAAGCCAGAACTGAGTTTGTGCCAGATCTTAGTGAGGACACAAACTCCCGTTGGACATTTGTGTTTGTCCATTGTAATGTCCCAGGACTGAGTGAGATGAAACAGTTGTTTCCGTAGTCTTTCAAAATACAAGGTTGTAAGTTCATTGGCTCAAACCCTTGTACTGGCCCTGCTTTAGGAATTTGTCTCTGAACAGGAGAATCTAATGGTCACGGGTGCCCATTATAATTTTCTACAAGAGGAAACTTTTTTTTTAAAATCCAAGTGTTCATATTCCACCCAAAGAAGCCATTCTGTAAAACTAAATTCAGTGAGATATTATTATTTGCAAACAATTACGGAATTTTTAGAAATTCTGATCATAATCACCTGTAAAATACTCTTTGGGAGTAAGTTGAATATTGGAATTTTTAAGGTCAAGTAAAAGGTACAGCTGATTCTATTCCGTATTTAAATTGGTACCGGTTACCCAGGGGACAGTGGGAGGTAACTTTGGTTGGTAGGCTGAGATGTGGGGTGAATGAAGGGTAACCCATCTGTAGAACTCAACAATGTGCAATGATTATAAACCTAGTGATGCTACCAAGGCATGAATGAATGCTCTACTGTTCTTCAGAGTATCCATTACAAAACACCTTTCTTGTATCAATATAGTTCAGGTGTTGCTCTAAACCTTTCCTGTATTTATTATAACCAAGATGCTGTCATTCACATGAAATGTTTATTCTTTAAACTGAATGTATTGTTCATAACCCATACGTGCTCATATTCTTTGCCTCCGATTTCCATAGTACTGTAATACGAACTCCTTTTGTGGAATACTTTTTTGTTTTGTTATGCTTTAAATACACATGCAAAGGGGTTCTGTTATTAGCTTTAAAAAACTGTACAATATCTTAATATAAATATATAAAAATAAAAGATGAATACTGTAAATCTGAGTATCTAGTTCCTCTCTCCCTCCCAAATCTGCCTGTGTTACTTCCTGCCGAACCCACAGAAAAAGCTCTTACACATTCCCAGCACTTTGCCATTTTGAAGACACCTAAAACATGGGACAGGCAAGAGTCACCATCACTCTGGAGGCTTGGAGTTTTATGGGTTGGTTTTTAATGTGTGGTATTATTACCAAACACAGTTCACTAGCCTCTCTCATTCTGTCACTGGATAAAAGACATCTGAACCGTAAGGAAGGGAATATTCACTTTCTGGTTCAAAACTTCAGAATGTAATGCATTAGGTTACATTCTCTGTTACTGCAGCGGGCCACTAAAAAAAATCGCCGACAACCGATACATTTAATCTTCTCCTAAGTAAGGGTCACTGCCAACTGGAGGTTAGAAGAGCTTAGGAGGGAAAATTTTATTTTCACCAGAAATTTGTTAATTGGTTAATTTTATAACCCATGACTTATATTTTAAAAAAACTTTGGTTTCATTGTGGGCATGTGTTAATAATTGTAAAATAATAGTTAATAATTGTAAAATAATAGTTTTAACCACATTATGATACTAGTGCTAGTTATAATATTTAATGCTAGTTGTAAGATTTATTTCAGACATCTATAATATGTTCGTTGGAAAAGGCAGCACCAGGCATATATGTTTAAAAGTCTAATAAGTTCAGCTGAGGTACCACATATATGTGTGGCTAATTTTCTAAAATCAAATCAGGGATATTTCTTTCTCATTGCCTTACACGCTTACTGTATTGTCCATTCCAATACTTGGCCTCATTGTTCATTACAGTACCCAAGTCAAATTGTTGCCTCAGTAAGAGGCGAGGTCAAAGTGAAATTTTACAGTTAGGACTTTGAATAAAGTATTTTCCATGTCAGGAAAGCACTGTCATAGGCCACTATGGATAAACTCCTCGTTTTCTAGTCTTTATTTTCTGTGTAAAATGGAGATGGCAATTCCTCACTGGCTGGACTTACTTTGTCAGGAGTCTGTGTGGCATTGCGTGATCCCTGAGCGCTTGATAAATGTGGCCCTTGTTAATTACGTGGGTGAGGAAGGAATGTGTGCGCATCTTCTTGGGCTTTAGCTGCATCCTCTGATCTTTCTCCTCTCCTTCCCACTACCTCATTTTTTAAATGCCCTGGTCTTCTTCTTACCGGTAAATCGTCCTTGAGTCTTGCTTTTTACTACAAAAAGTTCCAGGTAGTCTTTTAAGCCAACTTTAAGTGTTAGTACACTGCCATCATGGCGGGAAGCATGGCGGCATGCAAGGAGACATGGTGCTAGAGGAGAGGCTACGGAGTTCTACCCCTGGATCTGCAGGCAACGGGAAGAGAGCGCAACGCTAAGCCTAGCTCGAACATTTCAAACCTCAAAGTCCACTCCCAGGACTCACACACCTACTAATAGCGTCACTCCCTGATGACCAAGTGTTCATATCTATGAGCCTGTGGAGATCATTCCTATCCAAAGCCACAGAGAGGAGAGAGCCGTAACAGCTGAAATTTGAAAAAAAAAAAAAAAAAAAACAAGTGCTTAGAAATATTAGTTCTATAAAATATACAAAGAAGAGGTAGCCATTGTTCTTGAGTGGGAGACTACAATATTACTAATGTGCTGTCGAATTCATATATCTTAAAGTTTTATTTTTAAAAAACAAACATTTTGATCATATTTTTTCCCTTCAACTCCTGCCAAATCCTACCACCTTCCTGCCTAAACAACTTCATACTTACTTTTGGTCAAAAAAGAAAAAAAAAAAAAAAAAAAACGGTCAAGGCAAAAGGTGCTACCTAAATGTAACACCACACTCACACGCGCACACACACACACACACACACAATGCACACACACACACACATGCACTCATGCACGCATGCAGTGAGCTGCACCCCCCCCATGGCCTCTGAATCAGCTCCTGCCTGCAGGTTTCTAGCCTGTGTGAGTTCCTGTCCTGACTTCCTTTGATAATAGCTATATGGAGGAATAATTAAATAAGCCATTTCCTCCCTTAACTTTTTTTGGGGTGGGAGGGGCGGTTATTGATGTTTCTTTGCAGCAAGAGGGACTTTTAAATGCCCGTTCTCCATTGGGGAATACTGATTTTCCCTTTCTCATTAGGCATCATTGAAATACCTTATTGGTTAGGCGCGGGACTTTTATCCACTTCCCTTTCTCAGAATGCTGTCTGTTTAGAACTTGTGCTGGTTTTGTTTGTCTGTCATAGTCTTCTTTTTGAGTTCATGTGTGTCTTGGCTTTGTGTGTCTTAGAAGATGAGGTTTTCTCGGAAACATCCGGTTCTTACAACTTCCCACCTCCTTTTGCATGTAGATTCGTGGTCCTTAAAGTGCGGGGTTTGATAAAGACATCCCATTTAAGACTGACTGTTGTTCAAGTCTTAATACCTAAGTATTATTAGGACTGGAATTTGTTCAGCGGTAGGTCTCTACTAAATCCCATCTGCTGGAAGACGAAACTGTTCTAGTGCAGGTAGAGTGAATCACTGATCTATGGGTATAGCAGCATGGCATTAGGAGTCCTTTTATTGCTACATCCATCTAGCATAATAGGTTTTCCCCTAAACCTATAATCTATCTAGTTTTATGTTCCTGGCCATTTTACCGGCATCAGGTGGGAGCTATGTATCATAGAATGAGCCTTAAATGTTGTCTGACGTTTGTTAGTTACTCCCATAACATTTGTGCTACAATTCCACTAGTATATCTTACACGTAGGTCACTGTTGTGAGTTGCAAGTTCTGTAGCTGGGGGGACAGAAAAGACTTCCATTCTCCTCCTGTGCCATACAGAGTATGTTCCAGCACCATGAATGCTGATCCTTAAAGGTGAAGCTTTTAATTGTGCACCAACTTCATTTGCCCATGACAAAAGGCAGTGGTGTCTATCATTAAGTCCTTATTGGCACTAGAGGTTTTACTTAGTAGCATAGGATTTCTAGTTGGGGCACTGTCTCTTCCATTGTATGGAAACTCCTTTTAAATTCCTTACACCCTTACACACAGGGGTGGGGGATTGTGGGGTGGATTCTACAGTGGTTGGTTTCCACATGGCTTTTCAGAAGACCTTCACTGTTAGTTGTCACACCTCATTGCACATTCCCTCCTCTACCCTGCCTTCCAATCCCCCCTCGCTATTTAATCTTCCTATTCTTTCTATAACAAGGTTTTCTACTTCCCTTTCCTCCCTCCTGGTCCCTTATTAGTTATATAACCTCTGCCCATCTGTATATCTAGATAAAAATTATGTCTTCCTGCTTCTGGACAAATACAAAAGTCTAACCTAGGACATTAAAGCAGCAAAAGACTGACCTTAACCTTTCAAGCATGAAAAGTTCCCACAAAGTTACCATAAACTCAGAAGGACGTGGACAAGGAATGGGTGAATAGTGTTGACACAAAATTAAAAAGCCACACGTTTGCATAATATTATGGGAACTATATATATATATATATACATATATGTGTGTGTGTGTATATATGTATATATATACACATATATATATATGTGTGTATGTATATATATACATATATATATATATACATATATATATCAGACATGGCTTCTATTTGTGGGAAAACTTTTACTTCGTGGTTTACCAAATAAAATTACCCTGGTATAACTGACTTTCCACAGCACAAAACAAATAGATCTTAACTCACCCTAATGTAAATAAGAGTAGGGTTGATAGCACACATTGCAAAATAAGAACAATAAAGTAAAGACATTAGATAACTTAGGAAAAGGACTAGCTTTGCAAATGTGTAACAGATAAGTGACTTTAGGGGACTTCAGGATGGCTAGATGTAGGTGTCCATCACACACATCCTCCACAGTGACAGCTGGGTAGCCACATTTTCAGGTGGGTGGCCATGGATGGAACTGGAAATGAGCAAGAGACAGACCGGGAACCCTGTAGGTGTCAGAGACCTAAGGCCACATCACAGTATGAAAAATGTTTTCTGTCATCTACTGTCTTGCTTCCAGAGGAGAGGAAGGGGAAGTCTCCCCTGTGCAGGGGGCAAAGCTAAAAGCAGATGTCCCTCCAAGATCCTTCACACAACCCTCACAGACTGGCAAGCCCTTTAGATTAGTAGCCTAAACCTTGCACAATAGCCTGGCTTTGGAAAAGGGTCTCTCACGTGATCTCCCAGGAACCCAGGAGTCATCATAACAGTGTGTTACTCTAGCAGAATCAAGGCCTCCATCCAATCTACTTCCCATGTAAAAATTCCACACACATTCTGCTCTGGTGGCTCACAGGGCAGTTACTGGGTAAAGCCCACAGGAGATACAGGAGATACCATGTCTGCATTCACAACACCATTCTCCCCCCATCCCCATGACAATAATGGACTAAACTTCTGCACTCACAGGCCCGCATGCATTAAATGATTTCCTTTATGAGAGTTCCCATGGTCAGGTTGTCTATTCGCAGCAAGCTAAGAAAGACAGAAGTTGGTACCGGGGACTAGGGTCTTGTTGTGATGGGCCAGACTATGCTTTTGTTTGGAGGGATGTGGGTGGATTAGGAAAGCGTGGAATGCTTTAAGTAGGACATAATGGGTCATAGTAGGAAGTCTGACGACAGTGATACTGAGGGTCATTTGAACTGTGGTGGCCCAGCTCAGGAGGAGTTGTTAGTATGTGGCCTACAGACCATTCTTTTCATGTTTTGGGAGAAGGAATGTGGAATGTCTCCCTTTGTCAAAAAAAAAAAAAAAAAAAATCTGCCTGTGGCTAAATTGAAGAGCTGTCGATCAAGAGCTTTAGCAGAGGTGAATTCCAGACAACCTAGTTAGTATTGACTGTGCTGTGGTCAGTCTCACGCAGCAGCAGATCTATCTGCCAAGAAAGCCGAGCAAGGAAAATACACAATGCACTGCTTGAGGAGAAAAGGGAGCTCCGGGAAGGTTAATGCAGTCCAGTGCTCAAAGAGATAAAAAGTCTAAAGAAAAA